GTTTTCCATTTGTTATATTCAATAATTCCTTTTTATTTAATTAATGATGAATTGTATATATAATCTGTCAATCCTATGAAAATGCATATGATTTTATTAACCACAAAATCTGATTTATTATTTTTTTTGTAAATATTTTTATTGCTTTGAATTTTGTGTTTATATATTAAATAAGTTATTAAATCTACAGTTGAGCCCGAAATCTAAGGCGACGACTGCCCGCACCCGTCAAAGCAAACTCGCGCCTCGTTTTGCTAAACAGAAAGAAAACAGCACTCGTCTCAACACAATTACCGACGAAGCGTTCACTTCGCCCGCAAAAATAGCCGACGATTTGAAAGCGCTTTCTATTGACCCGAAAACTATTGACACGACTCTAAAAGGACCTAAAGATAAAGCCGAAGAAGCGACTCAATTAAAGCCAGTGGTTAACGCCTGGAGCCGACCATTGAGTCATTGCTCGCAAACGACGACAAGCAATTCGACGGTCACCACAACGACAAGAACTACAACACAGACATCAAGTTCTAAGATACAAGATATACACACATTGAGTGTGTCATCCAAATCCAGTAGTTTTGATCAACACGATAGCGGTATCGATGTGTCAGATCAGCCGCCATCCACCGCCTCCTCTCAGCGCTCTTCACCTTCTAATGACGACAACAAATTGACTACAACTACAGCCAAAGTGACGAATCCGACCGAAACTCGTGCAGATATTGTGAGTATTGAGTGGTTTTTGCAAATTGTGAACAATTTTTAATGAAATGTATTGTTCGTTATAACAAAAAGGTTACTGACATCGACTCCGCTAAACCCATGTGTACTGTTATATTTGAAAACACGAGATTCAAAGAGGAGAACAAAGTATTGGCCAAAATAGCGCCCGCGAAGTCTCCCACAGCAAAGGTATGGAAACTTTGATTAAATGTTGAATTATTTGAAAATAAACCAATAATGATGAGTATACGGAGCCAATCCAATGATGTAATTTTGATTACGAAATCCTTATCCCTAAACTGAATGGTTTATAAATAGTATTATTATTACAAAATACAATTTGCTTTATTT